TTATATCGCCACGCGTGGAATTAACTCGCGTTATATCGCCATGTGTAGAATTACCACGCGTTATATCGTTACGCGTGGAATTAACTCGCGTTATATCGCCACGTGTGGAGTTACCACGCGCTATATTGCCACGCGTAGACTTGATGCGCGCTATATTGTCACGCGTAGACTTGTTGCGCGCTATATTGCCACGCGTAGTCTTGTCGCACGCTATATTGCCACGCGTAGACTTGTTGCGCGCTATATTGCCACGTGTAGTCTTGTCGCACGCTATATCGCCACGTGTAAAATTACATCGTGCTATATCGCCATGCATTATTTCACCTTCTGGAAATTATAACGCGTTATATCTCTCTGCGTTGAATTATCTCGCGCTATATCGCCACACGTAGGATTGTCACGTGCTATATCATTACTCATTGCATAGTCTTATCAGTTTGAAATAATTAATATCTTCGGCTAAGTCGCATAAAACATTTTCCTGTATCAAGTTTCATTTTTAAATAATCACTAGGGATTTGAAACTTTACAAATTGGATAATAGAAACTTCAGAATTCCTTTGTAAATGTCTTTTATGAAAAATTAAAATTTTTAAATTAGTAAGGTAAAATTGAATTACGGAGGTTGAACTTTATTCGATAAAAGTTTGATAAAGTACATTTTATATTTCGCAGGAGAATTTTTTATAAGTATTATGCATTTTACAAGCTTTGACGTGAAATTATGAATATCAAAGACGGAAATTTGTTTAATAGAAGTTAATTAAACGGTATTATAAATTCCAAAATTGTGTTTGAGGATTTGTTAATTTACTTTGCGATGTCGATTGTTTCACGAACATATCATACGTTTTAATATTAATTTAATCCTCTTATCAGAGTTAATTATAATGCAGTTTAATCGAAAGGTCGTTCAATATGCTTGTTCTGTTAAACTTTCGATGGGATTGCGAGAAGCGTGGAATTGAATTTCATAATTTGATGAAAATTCACAACAACCTCCTCTTTAATTGCTGCCACTCTATCAAACGCACATAGTTCACGTATTTAATTTGTGTACATGCTGTTCCGTATAACGCCTACAAGACATTAAACTCATCGTTACCAATTGATGGTTACCCTAGTTTTTTCACTCCATCCTGTTAGTTACATAACTAGCATTCTCTTTATGGATGCTTACAATAAATTCAAATCAAAACACGAAAAATAGTGGGGTCCTAAAATCATTCGTTACTCCATTAATCTGAAATTGGAAGACTGTTGGTTATTTGGGAAAGGAAACTAGTATTGTTACACGAAATTATTTTATTTATACATTAGAGTTTTAAAGATAATGCGGAGGATTGCGTTGCACAATGTTGTGCAAAGATTTGTTAATCTTGGATCGTGTTTGCAGTTAAAATTGAATTCTGATATAATCTTTATAATTACATTTACAATAATAGGTTTTTTCAATTTAACATCTGTTAATTATATTTTTCTCAAAACTTGAATTTTACCAATTTTTTTTCGGGTTTGAAATTTTTAATTCAAGTTTCATTTTCAAGGTTAAATTTTCTAAATTTTTAAATTCAATTTTTCTGAAATTTTCATGCTGTATTTTGCTTCATTTTTAAGATGAGATTTGTAAGCTTTCAAATGTTTGGGTAAAAATTTCAAATTTAATCTGGTAAAACTTTTCAAATTTAGTCCGATAAAAAATTTCAAATTTAGTCTGATAAAAATTTGCAAATTCACTCTGGTAAAAATTTCAAATTTAGTCTGATTAAAATTTTCAAATTTAATCTGTTAAAAATTTGCAAATTCACTCTGGTAAAAATTTTCAAATTTAGTCTGATCAAAATTTTCAAATTAAGTGTTAAATTTAGTTAATCTTGAAATTTAATTTTCTGTAATTTTCAAGATAAAAATTGAAAAGTATGAAATTAAAAATTCTAAATAAATTCAAAATTCGAATATCGTATAGAAGATATCGCACTTCAAAAAAAAAAAAGGAAAATAGAGGAATGTGTATTTCAAGGCTTAGATAAGCAGTCTTTTGTTAGAACCGAATCAGTGAAGTGTTCAACTGATAACATTGCTTTGAAAACTATTTTCCAAAGCAGTTTTGTTGCAGTGTGTATTCATCTTGAAGTTTCGATTCTTTTCACTTCGTATTTCTACGTTTTCTCACATTTACACCATTCTTATAATACAATTTTATATGTATTTTTATTTTATTACATATACATCTTTTACATTTAAAAATTTTCTTCGTACTCATATTTTAATATTTTATTTTATGTACATGTTAGTATTTTGTTACATGTATTCATATATTTCTTACTATTTTGTTATTTATATTCATATATACATCTTATTTTATTTTATTATGTATATTTATTTTTTAAAAACATGTTTCTGTACATTTTATAATTTTGTTACAAACATTTATATATTTTTTACTATTTTGTTATTCATATTCGTATACACATCTTATTTTATTTTATTATGTATATTTATTTTTTAAAAACATGTTTCTGTACATTTTACAATTTTGTTATATATTTATATGTTCTACATATGCTGATGTTTAGCGTAGTATTTTATTACACACACTTATATACATCTTAATATTGTACTATACACCTTTGACATTCTACTACTTCATTAATCAACTTCATATATGTACATGCGTGTACTTATTATTATCTTTCAAAAACATGTTTCTGTACATTTTACAATTTTGTTATATATTTATATATTTTACACATGTTGATGTGTAGTATAGTATTTTATTACACATATTTATATACATCTTAATATATTATTATTATCAGCCTTTGACATTCTACAACTTCATTAACCACATTCATATATGTACATCTATTTTAACATGAATATCGATATTATTTCATAGTACACATTTATTTACGCGTTTCTTTTATCGTACCATTTATATCATACTACTTTTATCACGTGCATTTATCTACAGTTTGATAACTCAAGATTGACCCAGCTAAACGTCAAAATAGTGTTCCAGTCTCGTTAGTTAATAAATTACAAAGTAGATTAAGCGAATTGGATTACAAGATGAATCAAGATCTTGACGCTTAGGAATTTTCGAAAATTACACTTCTGACAGCAAAGTTTGCATTAGTTAACAGCACAGTCCACGTCAGATTTTCATTAAAACGATTTATCCTTCAAACTCTGCACTTCCGTAATGCAGCAAAGGGCTTCTGACAAAATTTATTTAATTATTACTACGTAACTCGGATCTCCAGCTTGAATTCCAGCTCGAGTCAAGTGCTTGAGCGATGTCTGCGTTGCATATTTGCATACCGCGAACTGCGGATTTGCGTAGGTCTCGTAAGGAATCCTAGACCGCCTAAAAAATCGTTCTAGGACTCTAAAATATTCTCCTTTCGTTTTGTGAAATATTTAGGTTATCAAATTTTCTAAATACTTTAATAAGACTTAATATTAAAATAGACTCATTTTATTATAGCATTATTTATGTTCACATTTTTATTTAAGATATAGTTTCTTATGTGTAGAGTTCACACTTTTTTATATTTAAATATTTTTAAAATTAGAAATTTCACATTAAAAATTCTCAAGACTAAAAATTACAATTATTCAACTTTAAAAATTAAAAAATTTCACATTAAAGTTTCTGGAGATTAAAAAATAATTACCAAAATAGAAAGTTGAGAAATTTCAAATTTACAAATTCTAAGGGTTAATAATATAAATTTTACAAATTCCAGTATAGCAGCTTTAAAAATTAGAAAATTTATTAGTTTTCATATTGTTCACAGATGGCTATTGCAGTTCTCTAAGTTAAAAATCAGAATTCAAATTATCACATTCCCGACGGCTATATAACAAGACTTCAGAACCCTTCATTTCTCTCTGTGTTCAAAAATAGAGATAAAATGAGAATCAAAATTAGTATTCTAACGCTATAATTCTTGCACCGTATATCATGCACGTCAGTCCTTTCATTATCCCGTGAACATTCCTACTCCTTACATAAGAAATCACGAGTCGAACTCCAACTATTCGAAATGTCC